CAAGTTTCCCCGTTGCTATTACTGATTGGCAAACGTTGACATGCCGAATGAGGGTCATATTCAGCGTGTGCAAGAGGATGCGATGGCGCCCACCGAAAGGGTTGAATATGACGTCCACCTTCGCCAATTACCCCAGTTTAGTGTTCTTCACACATACTATTGACATCGGAAGTGATACTACTTTAATCACAACAGTGAGAAAATTACTTTTGTACACTCCATTTCACTTTACGCATCATTTTTAAAGTGGTAGTAAATGCATTTCATTGTACACTAAGTAACAAGACATGCTGTAATTATTTGCTAGTGCTTTGCACCTAATTAGAAGTAGTTATGGTGGAAAGCGACACCTTCAAGCTTGAGTAGTGTTTGATGTTATAATCCAAGAAGCCAATTGCTGCACCTAAGGCTAATGTACGCGTGGCGCGGGCGGCATCAAGTTTCCCACCACGTAGCACATTGACAATGGTCTCAATAGAGACTTTTCTATTGATTGAGGAGGATGATGGGTGCCTCCTAGCCTGGTGGATAGGCAGAGGAGACAGCCACAATCTGGGTCGCAGTCGATTATAGGAGTTCCAGTTTATTAGATCGGACAAATATGCTGTGAAAGGAGCCTGTATCGGGTAATGCAGCCTCACGCAATGGTGGGAGAGCTGAGAGCTGTCTGTTTTAAAGTCATTTAATTTCACAGGAGATCTAAGTGATAGTAGGTTTAGACGATCTGAGTTAGTAGCATGGCTGGAATCAGCAGCAGAACTGCAGTTACAGCGGCAAGCACGATAGCCTGATATGACACTGAATGTGCGGTAGATGCTAATACCGTAAGGCAAAAGGACCACATGAGAGGAACTAGGGGCTTAATCGGTTAATTGACCTTTAGGACAATTGTGCACGCCCTACCTAACCAAATGCATGAGGTAGAGCATGCTTTATTGCATTCGGTTGCGGAAGGTTTTCCTGCTCGTGGTTTTGATTTGTTGCTTGAGGTCAAATCTGTCACGAGAATAGCCTCACCGCAAAGCTCAAATAGTCTATAAAAGGGGACACCAAAACCAGGAAAGCAGCACACACTTTCAATGCGTATAGCGAGTGCTTTTGCCATTGTGCTCGGTTGCCTCATAGTTGGTGGCTTCGGTTATCCCAAACAGCCAACATTTTCCTCATGTCAGTCATCTGTGTGCCATTCTGGTGCAAATACTGGCTACGGTTGTCTAGGTGGCATCTGCGACTACACGTGTTCCGAGTCATCGTGTCACGGTTTCGGCAACGCAGTCTTTCCACACAAGGGAATGCAGGAGACGTGGGGTAGTGGAGCACTGGGTAAGCATGGCTGCTATGGTGGAAACTGCGGCTACTGGAGTGGATGCAATGATGGCAAGTGCAGTGACTTCTACGACTTCCAGCAGTGTCAACATGTTGAATGCGTCGATGGATCGTTCCATGGCTATGGTTGCAGCACTGGTGGCAACTGCCGAGTTGTCTGCTTCATTGATGTTTGCCATTCCGTTGACAATTATGGTAAGGTGTACCAACCCACGATGGCCACACAACAGGCACTGGGGTATGAAGGTGAGGTCGTTCTGCCAATCAATTTCGCCGGCACGAGCGTTGCTGCTTATGCTGAACATCCGAAAGAAGAAAATTTGGACCAATTGAAAGCAGTGGCAAACCATATCACTGATCATCTGTCCAATCTTGATGCCAGGCAGCTGCAACTCTTCATTGAGTCAACGTCAAACATTGATGAAGTGATTACCTGCCTCGGTAATGACATGATTGAAGTTATCATCTCCAAGGTACCAAATATCAATGACCTGCTGCCGAAATTGAAGCCCACGACGATTGGCAAAATTGCTTCCAACTTGTGCGCCGAAATACTTAGAACCGTGGAGGTGAAACCACATGGCATGTGCGATGGAACGCATGGAATGTGCGATGGATATGGCTATGGTTGGCAAGAGATGGGCGACAGAGAGGACAATGCAGCTCCAACGATGATAAGTGGTGTGCAAAGCTACGACCTTCCTGCGTATCCGATTGTGGACAGTGGGCAAGGCCATTACTCTGACCCGATGATGACACGCATGTCACACTATTATCACCCTGTGGATTCACAGTCTCAAGTGTCAAGCACTCCCACTTCCGTGTCCACCCTCGATCCACGTGCTCTCCAATCAATCCTCATAAACATGACCAACCTCAATCAACTTCTAATGTCAGTGGATCCAACGCTTCTTCAATCTGCTCTGAAAAGCGTGTCAGGAATCGGTCATGTATTTTCTGCCATAAACCCATATGCATTGCAATCGATGCTGGGACGCCTTCCACACCTCAACCATGTACTGGCACACGCGGAACCAAACCTCCTCCAATCCCTATTAGCTGAGATACCTAACATCCATGCTGTTTTGCATGGTGTCAATCCACACATTACTCAATCCATGTTGCCTGATATGCCCAAGCAGTTGCCCGTAGTGGTGGAGCATGATGCTACGAAGGCAGGACTTGCTACTGAGGTGCCTAATCCACCAGGTCTAATGGATCCCACGGTTGCGCATGCAATTTTCTCAACCCTGCCAAATATTCCCCCTCAGTACGCCAACGCTTTGTTCAATATGGAGCCTCGCTTTGTTCAATACATAATGCAGAACCACCACAACCTCCACAGTCTTGTAGACAATATGGACGCCCAGACACTACAGTACGTAGCTGCGCATGTTCCTCAATTTGGCACAATTCTCTCCAAGCTGCATCCCAACACATTGGAAGTTGTTCTCGACAAACTACTCAACACCGCAAAACACTTAACAGACACGGACTCCGAAGCAGTACGAGCTATTATGTCAAAATTGCCCGCCTTTGCTAAATACGCACATCTACTGCCAACTCTGACTACTCCGTCAAAGGTGCCATCACACTTACCTGAGATAGGCAAGGAGAGTAAGGAGGAGGAGAAGATACCAATGGCAACTGCAACCCCGGCGCCTATCATCGCAAATGAGGAGCCTGGAATGGTGAGGTCGAATATACAGCTGATTGATAAGCTGTTGCAGTTGGTGGATCCGAGGAAACTGGCTGCTCTGCGTGTATTAATGCCCGATTTGCCACAAATCCTGAACGACTTGGGTGTGACGGGGCTAGAATACACCAAATTACCCTTATCAAAATTAATAGGAGTATCGCCTGCATTAAAAGATGTAATAATTGATCAGGACCAGGAACATGTGCTTCAGCCAAAGCCGCATTTCACTGGATC